AATCTCCATACTGCTTTCCAAATTGGCTGCACCAATCTGCAGTCCCACCAGCAATGTACAAGTGTACCCTTTTCCCCACATCCTCGCCAGCACTTGTTGTTGTTTGACTTCCTAATGGCTGCCAATATTACTGGAGTGAGATGGTATCTTAGGGTGGTTTTGATTTGCATTTCTCTGACAGCTAGAGATGTTGAGCATTTTTTCATGTACTTGTTGATTGACTGTATGTCCTCCTCTGAGAAGTGTCTGTTCAGGTCCTTGGCCCATTTGTTGATTGGGTTGTTTGTTCTCTTATTGTCTAATTTTTTGAGTTCTTTGTATACTCTGGATATTAGGGCTCTATCTGAAGTGTGAGGAGTAAAGATTTGTTCCCAGGATGTAGGCTCCCTATTTACCTCTCTTATTGTTTCTTTTGCTGAGAAAAAACTTTTTAGTTTGAGTAAGTCCCATTTGTTGATTCTAGTTATTAACTTTTGTGCTATGGGTGTCCTATTGAGGAATTTGGAGCCCGACCCCACAGTATGTAGATCGTAGCCAACTTTTTCTTCTATCAGATGGCGTGTCTCTGATTTGATATCAAGCTCCTTGATCCATTTTGAATTAACTTTTGTGCATGTCGAGAGAAAGGGATTCAGTTTCATTTTGTTGCATATGGATTTCCAGTTTTCCCAGCACCATTTGTTGAAGATGCTATACTCTTAATGTGCACAAAGGGCCAGTGTTTCCTTTTAATGCCTCCTGTTTTCTTGTACCCTTCTACATAAAAACAGAACAGATGCTTCCTGCTTCCTGGTTAAATCTGAATATATATAAATATATATTTATACATATATGCATATATATTTGAAAAATAATTAAAAGCAAATTATGGACTTGTTTGTAGGTTGAGAAGAAGTGGCAGTGACATGGCACCCAGACAATGATGGGTGTTCCTGAAATGTTTTTAAGTACTGAGAAGGAAATAGATGTGGCTTCTAATCTGAACTATAATCACAGTAGCACTTAGTTGAATATTAGAGGATAAAATAATCTGAATTAAATATCACTGAAAGTCCTGAATTCCAGACTTATTTATGGTCTAAAGTCTAGTCTTCACTTAATAGTTTAAAGGCTTGATAATTACGAGGTAGTGTGTAGTGAACAACACCCAACAGTGATATGTCAGGTTGTACATTTGGTTCTAATATTTCATCATTCAGGTAAAAGTGCATCCCTCAATAGAAACAGTTGTATTTTTTTTCTCTTTGATACATGAGGGAATTGAAACACAACTAGAAATACACAGAAAATTGTTCAACTTTGAATTTGGTAATAAGGCTTAATTAGAGTCCAAAGGATCTCCTAACAGTTGAAGTTGGGTGAAAAACATTTCACATGAAAAAAGGAATTAGCCAACTACACTCCAGACTTTTTATTGTTGTTATTGCCTTTGGTTGCCATGAATACCCAAGATCAAAACTTTGCTAATGTTTTCTGGTATTTACCCCCTAATACACGATCTACAAATTATTAAATAACTTACTTGAAGTAATGTAGCAGCAAATAAAATTTAAATTTAAACATAGTTTAGTTCAATTCCATGTTCTACATTCTTTTTACATCAGTGAACTATACCTCATAGAAATAGTGTTCCTTTTTGAGCCATTATTATCTTGATATAATTGCGATACTCAGATGTTTAACTCCCTAAACAAGGCTGAAATTTTGGACCTGGAAATGAGAATTATTTGAATCTTTTACCACCTTTTATATTTGTGTGTGTGTGTGTGTGTGTATTTGTTTATTTTGTGTGTGGTGGTGGTAGGTTTGCTGGGAATTTAACCCAGGGCCTCACATGTGAGAGGAGAGCAAAACCTGCACCTCCAACCATATATATGTGTATATATGTATATCTTGTATATATATGCATTTAAATACATATATATATATATATATATATATATATATATATATATGTATGTATTTTTTCCATTAGTGTGATTGTAACTAGAAATCTGATTGGAGTTTTCTCAGCTGTCTGCAGACTTTCAGGACTTGAAAATTAAGCACATTCCCACCCCATAGCTCTAATCTCAACTTATTATTTTGCAATTAACTGTTAACATTTCTAGTAAACTAGTATAATCCTTGATGTATAGGAAACACTTGACATTTGCTGAATACTTTGTTGAATGCATTATCTAATTTCCTTCATTTTAAACCTGAATCAATTGAAAATGCACCGCCTACCTAATCACAGATTTAAGGGAGGGAGCAATGGAAGACATTATTAAAAATCTAGTAACATTAATTTTAATCTATGTCCTATATTCTGAAATGTTCACAGATGCTTTTTAAATTGTGGAAGTCTGGCACTTCAATAACCTTAATCTTTCTCAAATTACATATTTTTATCTGTTTCCTTCCTAGAACTCCCATCTCTGTGTCCATTCATCTCTGGGAAGCTAATTTTCCTTTCTTTTCAGCTACATAAGGATGACATATTGTATCCTCAACACTGCTGATGCCCATTGGAATTGAGTTAACATCTCTCAAATATGAAGCAAACTAAGAGAAAATTGTGTGGAGAAACAGTAATTGTGTGGAAAATCTCCAGTGAGATTTTCTGTGCATAAATAAAAAATGAGGTTTCATGGGTTAGGATTTTTTGAAAAGTCTTTTAGGAACATATGATATTTAAATTTTTTTTGTAGGTACATAGCATTTCATGAGAGAAAAAGATATGAAATCTCAGCATTTTTACAAGTTTCATGTACAGAAAGCTTGTAGTGATAATAGTATGTTTTTAAAAATGGTGGATAGTCCAATGAAAAACATCTTTTATGACTTTTGTTTAAATATGAATGATTTTGTTGTGTAGTTTTTCCATGTTCTAAGGATGAAATCTTAAACTAAATTGATCATTGACATTTCCTTCATAATTTTCTTTTTTTTTTTTAATTTTTTTTTATTGGTTGTTCAAAACATTATAAAGCTCTTGACATATTCCTTCATAATTTTCCAACCAATCTCTCACTATGTCACTAAAGGAATACAGAAAATTACTGGACTATTACCTAGCTAGTGAATTCTCAAGCCAGAAATTTTGTTTCACTTAGTATTTTTTTTTTTTTTAGCTCCAGACTCTGCATAAATCTAAAGAAGATAATTCCATACATGAGTTTGCTGTCTTTATTAGCTTTATTTTGTTTTGTTTTACATTTTGTTACATATTTCCCCAACAGAAATTACTAGTTAATCTCTTTAATTTTTCAAGTATAGTCACATTTAGTTGGACTAGATATTTGCTACATTGAAACATTAAACAGTTTGTGCTATGCTTGACAAGGTCTAAGGAATAAAAAGATTCGTGTGAGAATTGTAAATTCTTATATTTATATTGGAGGCCTATTTTTTATATTGAGATAGTAGCTTATTATTAGGGGGGAAGTATCACATTCTATTTGGTATAATTGTTGGTGAATCTGGGCTCTGTTCCCAGAAATGCTAAATTACCTTGGTTAGATTTCTCATCCATTCTGTTCTTCCATTTCCCACTTTTATTTCTTAATTCTTTCTTGGAATTTTGCCAGAGTCAACTGGGAAATGTCTCGTGTGTACTTTAAGCTTTGAGAGAAGAAACATGGTAAAATGCCTCAGTTATCAAAATAAATATATCCAATTTGTGATCATCCACATTATAATTTTTCTCTTGGAAATCTTTAATCCTTCAAGAGGTTCCCTGGCTACTTGGCAGAAATCCGTCTGGGCAAATGTAACGTCTTTCTAGCTAATGTGTATGTGGGAAATGCAGAATGATTTTGGTTAATCTATGCTTAAACCAAGTAATAGGCCACATGTACCCCAAAAATATACCACAATACTTCCAGGCCAAGAAATGCATTTAAAGAATGTATTCTAGGTTTCCTGATTGTCTATTCTGCTTCTTCCCTTATAATCATGGGTAGTTTTTTATTTATTTTTTGATGCTTTTTAAAATTTTTATTTATTTTTATTAGTCCTTTTTAGTTAAACATAACATTAGGATTCATTTTGGCATTATTATAAAAGAATGGAATAAAATTTTCTCTACTTGAGGCCCCAGCATTTCCTCTTTCCTCTTCCTTCTCCCTCCCCATTTCCTTCTTTGTACTCTACTGATCTATTTGCTGTTTACTTATAGGTTTTTTTTTATTATTATTATTCATGGTGGTATATTCACATATGTTAGGTCAGATTCATTCCACTGATGTTCCCTTATTCTGTCCCTCCTCCCTCCCCCACAATTCCCCTCCTTCACTGATCTTTCTTCGGTTTTGATGGAATCATGAGTTGCTGTATTTTAAGAAAAGATTTTTAATGATGAATCTGCACTAATTTCAATACCAATATCATTGTCCTTTTTTTAAAAATATATTTTTTAGTTGTCAATGGATCTTTATTGTATTTATTTATATGTGGTGCTGAGAATCAGACTCAGCGCTTCACATATGCTAGGCAAGCACTCTACCACTGAGCCACAACCTCAGCCCTCATTGTCCTTTGATTATAACAATTCAAGGAATTATAGCAGGAAATACATCTATCTTTTCTATACCATGTCTGTCAGTTTAGTGATTAGATTTACCCATTGTGCAAGGTTTTAGGTAAATTAGCAAGTATAAATATTTATTGGTACAAAACTAAGACATAGCAGTTTTAGGAATGATTTATCCATTTCTGGTACTAAGCAGAGATTTTTCAAATTTATTCAGATGGACAATGAAAGACAGCTTCTCCCTGACCTTTGACTGGGCCATATTCATTTTAGTATTTGAGGAACAAGTGAAAGCCTTAACATTTGACATCTGGACCATTGAAATTCTTGAAACATGGTCTCTGGAGTGGGATAAGTGGAAGCATTGAAATAAGCCCTCTGACTGCTTCAATGAACTTTATTGCCTGAGCTGGCCAAACATCTTTTCACAGCAGGCTTATGGCAATTTATATTCTTTTCCTTTGTCTTTTTTTTTCCCCCACAGCTGTTGTGAACTTGGACAACTCAGTGGTTGACCTGGAGACTCTTCAAGCTCTCTATGAGAATGTGAGTAATAGAAGGAATTTTATGTGTGAGTATATGAAGCATATATAATACATGTCTGCACATGTGGGCTGGTTGTGTTAGTGTCCTTTAAGGAAATTTGATCTGGGAGCAGTGATTTTATGTAAGTGGCAGTTTGTTACAGTATTTTCTAGGAGCATATTTTGAAAATGTGTGATTTTATGGTTTTAAAGATTGTGATTCAAAACATGTTACTTATGAGATCACTCATTTCCTCTTCTGAAATAATAGTCAATGCTTATTCAGGAGCTAATTTAGGTTAACAATAATTCTGTGCCCTTTACACACACAGTGTTAAAATTTTAAAATATTTAATTGACAAAGTTCATGTAGAGTATGGTGATTTAATATATACATATGCATTATATAATGGTTACCAGAATCATATTAGCACATCTTTTACTGTACAATAGGTCCCCAGAACTTAGTCACTTTATAACTGAAAGTTTATACCTTTTAGCCAAAAAATATTACCCTTCTTTGCTGACTTCTCCACCCCTGTGCAACTATTGTTATACTGCTGCTTCTATGAGTTCCAGTTTTATAGATTGTCTTTCATGTCTGGCTTATTTCACTTAGCGTAATATTCTCCAGGTTCTTCTGTGTTTTTGCAAATGGCAAGATTTCTTTAATGGCTTAATAATATTACATTACATATATGTACAATAATTTCCTTATCCATTTATCAATGTCACTTAGCTTGTTCTCATATTTTGGCTAATGTGAATAATGCTGCAGTGAATACAGGGGTGTAGCTATTTATTCTACATACGAGTTCATTTCCTTTAGAAATATAGGAAGAAGTGAAATTGCTGGACAAACTATAAGTTCTGTTTTTGTTTGTTCAAGAACCTCCATGTTGTTTTCCTAATGACTGTACCAGTTTATATTCCCTCCAATAGTGTGCAAGAGTTGCCTTTATTTTCACATTTTCATCATCCTAAGCATTATCTCATTGTGGCTTCGATTTGCATCTTCCTAATGATCTATAGGCAGGTGCTCTAATTATCCCTATTTTACACATTAGGAAAAAGACACAGGTTAAATGACTTCACAAGGTCACACAGCTAGTATGTACCCACAATTTACTTCACCAAGTGGCAGCACATTTTAGCTTTTCTTGTGTATAGCTCTTTTCCTTAAAAAGTGGCAAAGGAAATAAGGTATTAGAAGTAAATAACCCACAGCATGATAATCAGTGACTTTTTTAGAAGTACAGTCTCTGCAATCATACATTATCAAATGGTTTTAGCAAAGATATGGCATTAACTATATTGCTCTATGGAATAAGAAAGCAATGTCCATTTCAGTTTTTTTTATTATATTTAGGAAAATGTCTCAGTGTGATCCTATTTTGTCTTGAATTGTCTATAATTCATTTTTCAATTTTTTTTTCTGCTGTTGCCTATAATCTTAATGATATTTAAGGCTTTATGCTCTTTTGCATTCTCGACTTTTCTGTCTCAAGTCAAAAGAATTCCTGGCTCTGGGAGTTACACATGATGGACAGGATATAGGTGGTTTTCTCTGACCATTACATTGAGGACTCTGTATTCAACCTCCTTGTCCACTCCTGAATTTGTTCTCTTTAAAACATATGTATGTAGGGTCTTCCTTGTGAAATTGAAATCTTTGGAAGAGAATATTTCTCATGGTGCAGCATACCATCATCAATCAAGCACAGAGTAGTGACCCAGAAAGCACTGTGAGCACATGTGTTCAGTGAGACCCAGTCATGGAAAAGGACTGAGATAACTATCATATAGTTATCAGCTGTAAAAAGTGAAAGAAAAAAAAAAAGAAAACAATCATGTATTCAGTATATTAGTGTTCCAGTGAAATGAGTATTTAAAAACAACCATTTGGAGGTACAGAGTTTCTATTTTGTGGGCCATCTGGAAAAAGTGAGGAAATACTATAAGAAAGTAATTTCTAATGCAGATCATAATGAGCTAAGATGTTGGATGTTGTGTGTATCTATCTATCCTGCATATATATTATATATATATGTGTGAATAAATGTTGTATTTAAACCTGGCATATCCATGTGTATAAATATATATATTGAAAATCATTATAGAACATTGAGGACAAGTATATTTATAAATGTTTATTTTATTCTGATTTAGAATATTTTATTTAGTAGTTTTTAGCTTTTTAAAGTAATTTAATTTCACTAAATGTAAATTTCTGACTCACGACAAGCTCTGTAGCTACTTAGAATGCATCTAAGTTCTTCAAAAAAAAACCTTTTCAGTGCAAATTTTTTTAAAGTTTTATTGTAAGAGGCAATTTATAATTATATATATTTATGAAGTAAAATAATGTTGATTTGTGAATAAAATATATAATAATTATATCAAGCTAATTAATATAACCATCATCTCAAATACTTTTTTGTGGTAAGAACATTAGAAATGTAGTCTCTTAGCTTGCTCACTCGCAGGCGCTCTCTCTCTCTCTCTCTCTCTCTCTCTCTCTCTCTCTCGTGTGTGTGTGTGTTTATGTGTGTGTGTTGGTACTGGGGATTGAACTCAGGGGTGCTTAACCACTGAGCCACACCCCCCAGCCCTTTTTTATATTTTATTTAGAAGAAATGTCTCATTAAGTTGCTTAGGGCTTGCTAAGTTGCTGAGGCTGGCTTTGAACTAGTGATCCTCCTGCCTCAGCCTCCTGAGCTGCTGGGATTACAAGCATGAGCCACTTCTTAGCAATGTTTAAATGTACAATACTTTTTACTATATTTTTCACAGTGTATAATATATCTAAAAGGATCTTATTACTCCTGTTTAAATGAGTCTTTGCATTTTCTGATCATCATCTTCACATTATCCCCACAGTGCTGTCCTGGCAACTACCATTCTACTTTCTACTTCTTTGAGTTCTCAGATTCCACATACAAATAATAGCAGCAGCATTTTTCTTTTTGTGCCTGTCTTATTTCACTTACTTAGGATAATGTTGTTCAGTTCCATCCATTTTGTTTTAAATGAAAAATATCCTTTGAAGACTGAGGTAGTATTCACTGTGTATATGTACCACATTTTCTTTTTTGTTTCATTGGGGGAACTTAGGTTGATTTTTTTTTTCCCCTTGGTATTGTGAATACTGCTGCAGTGTACATGGGTACCAATATCTCCTCAACATGATGATTTCAAATCTTTTTGGTATATAAACAGAAGTAGGATATCTGGATCATATGGTAATTCTATTTCTAATTTTTTGTTGATGTTTGTGTTTTGTGGTGTTGGGGATTGAAGCTACAGCCTGGGTACCTGGTAGGCAAACACTCCACCACTGACACCATCAGCTCTATTTTTAGTTTTATCAAGGAACATCCATACAAGTTTTCCATATTGGTTATACTAATTTATATACCCACCAACAGTATACAGGAGTTCCCTTTTTTCTATGTCCCCACTAACAGATTTTTTATTTTGGTTTTTAAAATCATAGCTATTCTGACAGCTGTGAAGTGATCTACATTGTGGTTTAAGTTTGCATTTCTCTAAGGATGAGTGGTGTTTTGGATAAATTTGATGCCTTTTTTGGGAGGAAGATCTCTTGCCCATTGTTTTAGTTGGATTTTTTTTTTCTCTTTCTGTAAAGTTCTGTTCACATTTTGGCTGATAAATATTCCTCCTTCCACATTTTATGTTTTTGATGTTAGAATTTATATCACTTCATAATATGTATCTGTTGAAAAGTTATATTAACTACAATTGTTATTAATAGTTTTAGCTTTTAATGATCATACTATCGATACAGTTACACACATCATTTAAAAACTTGGAGGATTCTAATTATGGCTCTGTGTTATCTATACTACTGAATTTTCTGCTTTTTGAATGATTTATGTTACTAATTAACAATTTTATTTCAGCTTAAAGAAGTTTTTTGGACAGTTCATATATGGGAGGTCTAGTGGTGATCAACTTCTTAGCTTGGGTTTGTTGAAATTATTTTTCCTTCATTTGTGAAACGCAGCTTTTTAAGTGAAAGTATTCTTGGTTGGCAGAGTTTTTATTTTTTCTTAGCACTGTGTGTATAAATACCAGGTATTTCATACCAGGTATAAATACAAGGAAAGCTATAGCTCAATAACATGGTATTTCCATTCCTAATCTTTTGAGGAACTTCCATACTAATTTCCATATTGACTGCACCAATTTACATTCCCACCAACGGTGAATAAAGGTTCCCTGCATCCTTGCCAGCATTTTATCATCATTTGTATTCTTGATGATTGCCATTCTGACTGGAGTGAAATGGAATCTCCATGTAGTTTTGATTTGCATTTTCCTGGTGGCTAAAGATATTGAACATTTTTCATATAATAGTTGGGCATTTTAAATTCTTCTTTTGAGAAATTTCTGTTTAGTTTATTTGCACATGTATTGAATTTGTTATTCGTGGCCTTGGTGTTGATTATTTTTGTTCTTTATACATTCTGGATTTGAATTCTCCTTCAGAAAAGAAGCTGCCAGAGATTTTCTCCTATTGTGTAGTCTGTGTCTACACACTACTACTACTCCTCTACATTTCCTTTTCTATGTGGAAGCTTTCTAAATTTTGCTGTTCTGTTTATCAATTATTTACTGAGCTGTAGGAGTACTAGTCCAGAAGTTGCCTGTGCTTACATGTTCAAGTGTTTCCCATGTTTTATTCAAGCTTTTGCAAAGTTTCTGGTGCTATATCTTGGTTTTTGATTCATTTTGAGTTGACTTTTGTACAGGATGAAAGAGGCATCTAGTTTTATTTTTATACATTGTGAATATCCATTTTTTACCAGTACCATTTGATAAATGATATATGATTTACACCAGTGTATATTTTTGGCACCTTTGTCAAGAATCAGATGACTGTGACTGTGTAGGATTGGCTTCTATCCTATTCTATTCCGTTTATCTACAGTCCGTTTATATACTATTACAATGCTATTTTTTTATTATGGCTTTATACTATAATTTGGAATCAGGTAT